TTAAGATGGCATAGTTTTATATTGTCGCTCTAAAGAGTTTTGAGGACAGGTAGGTAAAAAGAACTAGACATCACTGTGTAGTTTGGTCACTGACAAATAATACCCACTAGGTCAGTAAATGAGTAGCACAGCATGTCAGAGAAAAATGCTTTAGACATTCAAAATAATATAAAATATCTTTGTCTTTTTATTTTAGTTCATTTTGCACATTTTAAAAATTTTGTACAGTACTCTCTAATTTTCAACAAATTACTTCCAAACACAAGATAAAACAAAAGGGAAAATTATCTTCATGAGAGCAATTATAGTCTAATGTGAACTTTTTGCTACTAAATAAGATGATTAATTGCTTCTGTTCATAATGAATAGGGTAAAAACTCTGCCTGAAATATAAGTTCTAGCTAAAATATGACCCTAAATTGAAGTCTTTACAAAATTCTAACTCTCAAACAAAAAAAATGGATATTTAAGAAGTAACAAATGCTTTTCTGAATGAACTCTATGTCTTAAGAAAAGGTCAAATACATTTTAACACATCAAGCGCTCTACAGCTTATGTCACAGTACTGAGACTCAAGATAATACTGAATTAAAGCCAAGAATGGTAGCCAACACCTGTCATCTCAGCTGATTAGGATGTTGAGGCAGGAAGATCACTTGAGCTCAGGAGTTCAAAACCATATAGTGAGACCCCATTTCAAAGAAACAAAAGATAATATTAAAGTCAAATAATAGTATATCAAAATGCAGACATCTAGACAGCCTCTGCTTTCAGAGAATTTTTTTCAGTTTTTGTCAGAGATTGCTGTGGTTGTCTTCAGTATAATTCCTTACATTGCCACAAAACAACACAATCTCTCTTGGTGGCTGACACACCTGTGTTGCTACATTCAAGCTAAAGCAATTCCTTTGAAGTGCTCCTCTGTGCTCTAGACTATCTCCTTAAAATACAGGGACCACACCCTTCTCAATTTTATGGACTGGGATTTAAATATGATTTATAGAGTATGAATAGCTAAAATGGATAAGGAATCTGAGGGCCATATTCTAGTTATCTAATGGTAGAGTAGAAAGCTTCATAGAACCTGGTATCTAAGGACAGAAAATCCTGGGAAAATATCCTTTTATATTAAAAATGTGTGTTTTTAAGATAGTCATCAATGATCTAATGCAATCATTTCTGGTACATAGTATTTGTTAAATAAATATTAAATATTTTAACATACCCTGCTTTCCAGTTGAGATGGTAGGGTTATATTATTGTCTACAATAAACACAAATGTGCCATTTGATTATCACTCACTTACAATGGTATCTGTTTCACATTCCAAAATCTTCTGACCCACATAGATTATAAATTTCTCATGAGTTTATAATATTACTGTATTTTTATCCCCCTTAATGCTTACTATAATTATGAATATATAATGTGTTTCAAATAACATCAACAATTCTTACTTAGTTTCCATCCTCCAAAGGTACATGAGAATCGCCCATTGAAACCATGGACAAAAAAATAATACTTTGGTACTTTACAAATAAAATTTAAAGTACCTCACGTATAAAAATTCTCCCTCTGAAAATATATTTATTCTTTAAAATTATACAGCAATGAAATGATTAGCACACAATAAATAAACCTCCATACTTACTCTCTAACAGCTTCCTATACAGTTGATATAAAGTAAGTACCCTTTTAAACAGGGTGGAGTAAAATAATGAATGAGAAAATACCAGAAATGGGCTTGGAACTGTTGGTGGCTCTGTAGAAAGTACTCAATAAATCTTAGCTAGCCGGAAAAGCAACAACAAGCTCAGTAGGCAGAAACTCGGGTGCAATATAGAGAGGTCTATTTAAGTACCTGCTGTGTGCAAGGTGTTATATGTGTGTTTTCCATGAATACAGAGCAAAATTATGTCATTAGGGACTATATTTACAAAAAGAATATGATCCTTAACTGATACTGAGCACAAACCTCTGTATGACATCCCATGTATTATCAATGTTATTAGTATATATTACCATGTTATTTGAATTCACTAGTTCTTTTAACAATCTTACAAAATGATAAAACAGAGTTCAACTCACTTTGAAAATGCTTGCGTTTTCAAATAAATCACCTTCTTGCCAATACAAAATAAATTCAAGAGTAGCAATGCAAAATTTCCATGTATCACTGTACAAGTTGAATATCGAACAACAATGAGGATTTCACCTACTCACAGAGACTGCAGGTGTTTTGCAGAGGCATTTAGCAGAAAATAAGTGGTTCAGATAGAAAATATCAAGAGGTGGGACATGTGGCCAAATGGGAAGGTGCCATCCACAACACATGGCTAGTTGATGTTGTCATAAAAGACAACAGGCCTGGGCTGGGGATTTAGCTCAGTGGTTCTGGCACCTGCCTCACAAGTGCAGGGTCCTGAGTTCGATCCCCGGTACCAAAACAAAAACAAAAAAAAAAGACAACAGACCCAAATTGCTAGATCTTCCAATGTTTAAAAAGTAGATAGAAACCTAGATTTTTAAATAAAAACACTTGATTATTTAAATGCTTCTACTTTATATTAGTGCTATTTTCTGTTGCTTTTATGATTTTCTCTCTTGTTCACCAACTTGTCTGAAAATAGAAAGTTTTATCTCCTTTTAAAGTGTTGTCTTAGTCACTTTCCCATCACTAGGACAAAATACCCAACATCTGCAACATACAAGAGGAGAGGTTTATCTGGGTTCAGTGGCACATGTTTGTAATCCCAGATTCTGGGAGACTGAGGCAAGAAGATTGCAAGTTGGAGCACAGCTGAAGAAATTTATCAAGACTTTGCCTCAAACTACAGATTAGAGAGGAGACCTAGCTCACTGTGAAGGCCCTACGTTCAATCCCCAGTACCAAAACGAAAAGGAGAGGTCAATTTTGGCTCATGGTTTTAGTTCACAATTAGCTAACTCCACACAGGAAGGGCCTGGTGGAACAAAGCTCCTCAACTCACAGCAACCAGGAAGCAGAGGAAAAGAGTGGACAAGGGGACAAGAATGACCTTCCAGGCCATTCAGTGACCAACCTCTGTTGACCAGGCCCCACCACCTACCAGTCCATTCAACTAGAAGCTCTTCACTGGATTAACACTGTGATCCAGTCACCTTCCAAAAGTTCCACCTCTGAACATATGAGCCTTTGGGGAATACTTTAGATCTAAACCAGAACAAGCATTAATGAGAATCTTCCTTTTAAATAGTACCAAAAATACCTGGCATTCATGGTTTGTTACTAGTTCTAAAGGAAATACAGCTACAATTTCTCCATTATACATGTTTACTTTGAGATTTAGGTATGGAAATCTTCAATGTGATAAAAATGCATTATCATTTTTAATAAAAGAGTTAAGAAAGGTTGCCAGGTAATGCATGAAATTTTATGAATAAATCCCATTCACCTAACAACAGCAATAACTAATTGCCAACTCTCCTCTATTCACTTCCTTATTCCTCTTGTCTCAGCTTAAATGCTCCCCTCAGGACTCCCTACTCAGGTGAATGTTACAAATATCTTACATACTAATCCTATATTGGATGATACTTTCTTCATCACCTTAAATACATTCTTTAGAAAGTATATCGCAATTTACAATTGTACAGTGGATTTGTTACATATCTCACACCCTCTACTAATTTAATTGTGAGTTGCATGAGAATCAGATCTTGTCTTTCCCCCCCATTGCTGGGGTAGCACCAAGCATGTTGCTACCACCGCAGAGATACTCAGTGAGTAATTGTTGAAGAAGGACTAGACCTCTCACTCCAAGTGGAGTGTGCGCCTCTCTGTAGGGTGAAATAAATGTTTGTTGAGTTTTCCATTGATAAAAGGCAATGCCTTGGGGAAATGGCAATTCTGTGGAAAATTATAATACAAGCATGTTTTTAAAGAAGAATTTCTATAAATTTTACAAATAAGATGGTATTATTGAAAAGGATGCCGACAGCATATAGATTTTGAAATAAAAATATCAAGTCCATGGCATCTAAAGTGTCTTCTCACTCTAATTTCTAGGCACAATCATCCATTTACAATAGTGCAAAGAGCTCCTATTAACCCCGAATTTTCTCTTCTCCTGTGGAGATGTAGTCTAATGAGAGGAAAAAGACAAAGCTTCCTCTACGTGTCAACGTAGGGGCTTTTTGTCTGTTTTTGTCTCAGAGCTTGGTTATATCAATTGCTCAAAATCAATATCCATCCTCATATAATTAGATGAGTACAGTAAACACCATCATTTCCTTTATGGATCATTTGAGTTTGTCCACTGAAGCTTTTACACCTACTCAACATGAAGCTCTCCTTTTTATGTAATAATCCTAAAATCTCCAGACTGGAAAAATAAAACAAAAGTATACATGAAGGATCTATTTGATATTACTTAGGTAGGGAAAGTGACTGGCTTTATTTTGTTTTTATCTTGGTTTTAATGGCATTACTAATGTCACAGATTGCAATGTTAGAGGCCAAGTAGCTTCATAAAATGACCAAACCATTTCAGGAATCTGTACATCATTAACAGCCTTGTAACTTTCATGAGCTTCCCTAACAGGTTTCACTCAAAAAATCTTGATAGTCCTGATGTCAACAGATTTAATGAAGAAAAATAGAGTTTCAATCCTTATATAAGTTGAAAGAGTGCTCAAAACAGGGTCCAGACCTGCAGTCACTGCTGTTATACCTGAGCTTTCCCAAAGGTGCCAATGTGATGTAGATACTAAGCATCTGAACAGAAGCACGTCAATAACCCAGAAACATTTACCTTGGCAATCACAATAATCATTTTCATTTCACTGAAGGAAAAAAAAAGGAAAGGGGAGGAGAGGAGAGGAGAGATGAAGAGGAGAGGGGAGAAGGAAGAAGGCAAGAAAGAGGGGAGGGAGGAAGGCAGAAAAGTAGAAAGGAAGCGGGGAAGGAAGGAAAGAAATGGCAGGTCTTATTATGAACTGGGACACATTCTGAAGCCTACCTTCCAGAAACCAGGGCTGTGTGGGAGGAAGCCACTTTTGCTCTTCATGGCAAAAGGACTTGTAATCAGGGCAGCAGTCAGAGTTTTCCCTTTCACAGAATCTATCACAGTAGCACCATGCATTTGCCTCATAGAACTGAGTGACACAGCCATCATCTCTGTCTTCACAACAACCGAAACTTCTACAGTACCGTCCTTGGTAAATGGCTCTTTTGAATCGAAAACCTTCCAAAATGGTGTGGTGTCTGGTTAAATAAGCTCCTCGGTCCACTTCTTTTTGAGATAAATAATGCTTCTCCGTGCAGATTTCTGTAGTCAGATAAGAAAAGATTAAGATCTTATATCTGATCCACATTGTCTGGAGGTTGGGGACAGTTCCCACTTCTAATTATATCCAATCACCCTTGGTATTGGGGCTTCTCCTGGCAGCCTGAAACCTAATCATCAAGACACCTCAGCCTAAACCCTGAAACTTATCCTTTGCTTGAACTGAGCATACTCTTATAGTTAAACATTAATCAGGAATTTCAATGTTTGCCCAAGATAACACAAGTATTAAAAACAGACTATTATAATTCCTTTAGAGTTAAAAATTTAAATTTTATATAATGTAAACAGAATTGTGATACCATCAAAATACCACCCAAAATCTTATGCATAGATGATACATTGAATATCCCCCCTCCCAAGCTCTAGATTCTTAAATCAAAACCTCTCCAGTACATACACAGCTCACATTACGGCTGTGATCACCACTGTCAAGGGGCTGGAAATTCAAAAGTCAGAACTGCAATTATTTATTCCCTACTTTGACTGTAACTACACTACAGGCTTTCCTGTTGGCCTGCTAGGATTTGCTATATCTGTAACAGTTGCTCTAAATCATTCCCATGCACACTGGCTTGATTTCCCATCTGCACCCCATTTACCTACCAAAGCATTTTTATTTCAAGGCTCAGTGGAGCCTGATTCAACTAAAAATTCCCTGAAGATGACCTTCGTTCTCTCTACTGAGCCCCTGCTCACTATCACTGGAAACCAACAGTCTCTGGGAGGCAGGTGATAGTGAAGAAAAGTCAGTTCCACCTGTTAACAAGCTGGGGGGAAGGAGCTGTGAAGGAAACTCCAAAGTCAAGATGTCTTCAATATTTCTGTAGAGCTGCCCTCTACACTGGATTTTCCTAGGCTATATTTATTTATTAACCACAATAACCCCCTCAGGATAGGGGATACGTAACCAGCAGATGAGTCAGCAAGAGCACCTGGGTGTCTCAGCAATCAGAACCATGGACTCTGGCCCCTAAGCCATTATTTAATTGGCTCTATGACCTTGGGATCACCACTTACGTCTTTGATTCACCTTATTTTCTCTAAAACAAAGATTCTTCTCTCAAGGTTATTTCAAGACTTCAAATCTTCACATTTGTCCCCTGACCTTGCTCCCTATTTTTTTCTCTCATACTTTTATTCCTACTGTGGCACTTTCATCTAGCACCTCCCTCTCAGGGTATAAGCAAGTGTACACCTGTATTTCTCAGTTCTTGTCACCTTCGTGTCACTAACCACAACCCCTTTGTCCTTTCAGTCCAATAACTAACTGCTGCCTCCACTCCCTTGGCATTTACTTTGTTACTAACTACTGCAAAATGCTGTCTATTTCTCAGCTACTTTTCAGGGAGCTATGTCCATCTTTGTCACATATAAATCTTCTGCAGCACCCTAAGAGGGTACTCTGAAATGTACTATGGAACAAAGAAAAATGGAGGAAGAAAGAGAGAGGGGAAATAATAAGTCAGTTATATGAAGTGAGGTTCATTACCTTGATTATGGTGATTATTCCACAATGTATATGTAGATATATGAAGTTGTACATTTTGTATATACATAATTTTTTTTGCCAATTATTCTTCAACATAGCTGGGAGGAAACAAAGGGAACAGAAAAGTTGGACTAATGGAATTTGCATCCTATTTCTACACTGACTGCACAGCTCTGGGAGAATGACAACTCTCTCAGTGCTTGAGAGTCTACTCACACAAAATTTTGATAATAGTATAATACTATAATTTAGATAATGTTATAGAAGGGAGGAGAAGCTTAATGAGATAACAGAAATACTTAGCACATCACATGTGCTAAATTAATGTTAATCATTTAATCATCAAGTCTGTCCTCACCTAGAAAAGCTTTCCCCTTTTGCCTTCTATGATTTCATTCTCTCCTTACTCTCTTGTCATTTTTCACAGAAGGCTCCCAATTTCTCTACCCCCACTCAGACTCCTTTCCTTCCCTTCCTAATGATCATATATGTAGGATGTTTTTAACCAATATTTTCAACATTTACCAAGGCTCTATGCCTCCTATCTCATCTTCCCTCAGATTTCTAGCACTGAATCAATTTAAAAGTCACAAATCAGCAGACCACATACAGGACTGCCCCTCAGCCTTGCTCTGTGACTTCAACTTACACTTTACCTCTGGCTTATATTGGTCCCATCCTCATACTAGGCTTCTCTCTCTTCCTCAAATACATCAGACAAACTCCTGGCCCAGGACCTTTGCACATGCTGTTCTATCTGCCTGGAATGTGCTTTGCTAGACATCGATATGGCTCCACATCTTACCTATTTCAAGCCTTTTTGCAACAGCATCTTCTCGGAGAGGACTTATCCACATTCCCAGTCTGAAACAACAGCTCTTCATTTCTCATTTTTTTCATACAAGATCATAAAATTTTGTTTATTCTGTCAATTGTTTTGTCTTCAGTATTTAGAACAGTACCTGAACCTAAACGATGAGAAGTAAATGAATCCTGTAATTTCCCTTCTCTTCTCCTCTGCTAGATCTGCTAAACATGTGTGGAGACCACCGGATTAATGCCATCATAAATTTTGGAGTTTCATCTTAGGTGAGCTCTTAAATATTGCTCACATTTTAAAAATTCTCTTTTCTTTCCCTTGGCATATCACAAATCTACTTACTTTCCTAACTCATCCCCCTATTTTCTAGAAAAGAGCTTCCCTCAGAAGTTCAAAAGAATACAAAGATAACAAATGTTAATCCCACCCCTTCCTTTCATCAAATTCATAAACCCCTCTACTGCAGCCATGCTTCCCATTTTCCTTCCAGAAGTGCCATCCAGTGCCAATGTAATTCATCCCTCTGTGACTCGGTGTGCCACCATTGATCTGATTTCTTCCCTTACCTTGTAGTTCCCATACATCTTCAACCTATCTCTTCTGCAGTTCCTTCAGTTTGTTAGACCTGCAGCTGACAGCACTGGGTCCTGTGCATGCCTCACCACCCTTTTCAGACAAGAAGAATTGGTCAGTTGCAACTTCACTGTACAGTGCAGAGGACCGTAATATTGATTATACCCAAAGCAGGCTGTAAAGAGTTAAGCCCACACTTGGCTTGTTTATAGAAGTGAGTCTGGCTGAAGCCTACATGCCAAGGTCAGAGTAACTCCCACCCAAATTCCATTCCCACAACTAAAACCTCCTGACTAGAAGTGTTGCAGCAGAGTGGAGCAGCTCTGTGCTACAGCCAAGTGTTACAGCTCAGTGTCACAGCCAAGGGACCCTGCTCAGAAGCATGGCTAAGTGTTATAGCTTAGTGTTGCAGCTAAGTGCCACAGCTTGGAAGGCACAGGTGAGCCTTACAGCTCTGTATGCCTACTCTGGAACACAGCTCTGAGGCACTGCTGAGCTTTACAGCTCAACGTGGCAGCTCTGGGTAACAGCTTTCATTCTTTGAAGACTCAAGAATCCGATGGTCAGCTGAAGAGGTGGAGAAAAACCTTTTATTACACTGATGAGCCCTGGTAGGCTTTCCGGAGTCTGACCACTCTACCAGAAATGAAAGCCTCCATACATCATACATAGGTATCTACAGGGTAGGTGAGCATGCTCAATGAAGCAGGGGTCAGAGTTTCAGAACATTCCTGAAACACATGCCTTGTAAGCATGCTTACTGAAGCAGGAGTAGAGTTACAGAACACTCCTGAAGCAGAGGGGCAGAGTTACAGAACATTCCTGAGAGGGGGCGGAGCTTAACAGAACATTACTTTTTTTTTTCTTTTGGTAGCAGGGATCAAACTTGGGACCTTGTGCTTGTGAGGCAGCCGGCAGCACCACTGAGCTAAATCCCCAGTCCTTAACAGAACATTCCTGAAGGTCACACAGTTCAGTCACAAACCATTTTGATACAATGGGCAGGAGACCAGAAACACAAACTTATATTTGCAAAACAAAACATTCTATGGAAAAAAAAAATGGAGGCAAGGCAAGGGCCTGTTTAGAAATTCTCCATCAGGACAATGTTCTAATTACAACCATATATTTTGTCTATCCTGTTCCTAATTTGAGAAGGCGTTCTCTTGTCTTTATGAGCTGTGTTTACATTAATTTCCATAGAAACCACAGGTCACCTTTACCCCGATTGGTTGCTAATAAAAGTCAGTGCCTGGGACTGGCCAGTGCCTTTGTCAGTTGCACCTGCATTGTGGTCCTGACACCCTGCTTTCTCTCTCCAAGTTCTGTCTTTTAGTTTTATTTCTCTGGCCTGCGTCATACACAGGGCAGGGTACTGGAACCTAACTTCAGGGGTCTCTGGTAGTCCAGAGCCACTGCTCCACAGGTATTGAGAAGTAACATACTCCTCAGGCCCTGGGCAACTTCCTTCTGTTTATGTCTGTCTATCTGTCTATCTGACAAGTAAAAATTATATACACTTACAGTTGCACAGTATATTTTTAAATACACACATCATAGAATGGCTAAATCAAGCTATTTAATATGTGCATTGCACTTATTTGTCATTTCTTCGGTGGTATGAATACTTAAAATCTACTCTCAGAAATTCTGATGTGCCAGGAGTGGTGGCACATGTCTGTAATCCCAGCACTCAAGTGACCGAGGCAGAAGGATTGCTGCAAGTTCAAAGCAAGCCTGGGCTACATTGTGAGTTCAAGGCCATCCTGGACTATATAGTGAGACCCTGTGCCTCCATAAAAAAAGAAAGAAAAATGAAATTATGACATATACAATATATTGTTAATTATAGTTACCCATAAAGTTTACTAGAGCTCTTGAAATCATCCTTCTGTCTCACTGAAATTTTGGGTCCTTTGACCAACATCTCGTCAATTTCCCAACCCGCCTCAGCCTCTGATAATCATCATTTCATTTCTGTTTCTATGAATTTGACTTTTTCAGAGTCCACATATAAATCATACCATACTGATGTCTTTGGTGTAATGATTGCATATCCTTTGGATATACACCTGGAGATAAGATAGATAGATAGATAGATAGATAGATAGATAGATAGATAGATAGATAGACTTTGCAGTGAGATTCCTAGATCATTTCGTAGCTATAGCTTTAGTTTTTTGAGGAAACTCAATAATGTTTTCCAAAATGGTTGTTTTAATTTATATTTGCAACAGAAACATAAAAATGTTCAA